GGAGAAAAGCATTAGAGAAATGTACACCAGAAATATGGCATGCTAAGGTGGTTCACACTGAAAAATTAATCGAAGACTGGTATGATAGGGAAGTCATTATTGAAGAAGTACCCCAAATGTTTATCAATGTCAGTGATGAGGAAAGTTCAGAAGATAGTGAGAGTGGGGAGAACTAAAGTGGACTACGTACATTTTTCAAATTTTTTAATTTAAATACTATCCATGCTATTTTTAAACAAATAATTGTACTGATCCAAGTTACTTGTAAAATTAATAAATTATTTTTCATTTTCATTAAATTTATTATCTGTTGGAGGTATTATTTAACAAAATATTTAGACTTTTTGTTTTAACCTACTTTCTATAATAGTAATTTGGGTAAAATCTTGTAAAGTTAGATATCTAATACTGTATAGAACTTGATTTCAATATATTAGTTAACAACTCAATATTTCGATCACCAATTATTGTCCTCTTGTAACAACTATCCTATTGAATTATACTGTATAGGCATACTATTGTTCTGTATTTTCCCCTTTTTATGACCTTTTTCCATAAACAATTATGTTCATTTGTACCGAAGTTCGATCTAAATCTATAGCCTGTTCTTTTGGTTGATATTGTTGTAATTTTAGGGAGAGACGATTTTTGAGGATTTTTGTGAATAATTTGTATATGTAGCTCAATTAACTAATAGTTGATGAGATTCCTTCTGTCTCTATTTTTATTAGAATATGTCATTATCCAACAAAAACATGTGTATGTATATGTATATAAAAAAAACTCTCAATTAATCATATATTTATATGATAATGTAATATTAATAAAAAACAGATATCGGTCATAACAACATCGATAACATGTCAAAATTTCCTAGAATTATGTCATACTCCTTTATCAAATTGTCATCTCATGATGTTCATCTCATGTTCCTGCATTGGTTTTCTATAGCAACTTTGTCAAGCCGTTAGATTAGATTAGGTTAGATTCTTCGAGGTTGCTATCGGCCTGATCCACTGCGATCTTTTCAGATCTATTATAATCCTCTTCTGAACCTTAGAATAAATTCTCCAATCCAAGTTTAGCAATTTGAAGACTGTCAGTGGCCTATAATTACTTATTACAAAGAACCCCGCACATTTGCCAGGCTGTGGCACCGACAGAAAATGTGTACTTTCGTTTCTTCTTCAAATTGACAGAATCTGCACATGGCTTTGTCCGTGAATCCAAATAACTTTAGATGCCTATTCAGCTTATAATGCCTTGTTAGTAGACCCACTACAGCTTTGACTGTGTTTCTGTCTTTGCTTATCATGTCTGTCGTAAACTTTCGGCGAATGTTCTACTATGCCCTGCCGAGCAGAATATTTTAACAACCTTTCTAATATGCGAATTTTTCGGATTAAAGCTTGTCAGGTCAAGAATACCTATCCGTCACGTCGCGTCGCCGTCGGTTTCGGAATTGTTGAATGTGTCATAGGATGGCTTTGATTGATTTCCTCGACCTACGCACAGTAGCAACTTTCTGCTTTTGTCATATATAGCACCGGCTGAAATATGCGATTACAATGTTATCATTGCTTTGAATAAAAAGTTTAAATTTTTTGTTCCATTGATGCGGTTCCCTGTCGACAACTCTATGTACGTAGTGAATGGGATGTTCATTTGGCCAAAAATAATCTGTACTACCTGTTTGCCTGTTTATAGGGCCATCCTCTTTATTCTGTTAGTACAATTTTCCTTATGGCTAGTGGTCTTTTTCTTTCTTCTGTGTAAGATTTTCTGCACTAGCATTGAATCTGATAAGTAATGCTTTCTTGTAATCAAAATCTTTTGGTTTCGTCTTTGTTAAGATGCTATTAGCTTAAATTCATATTAAAGTAGTTGTGAAAATTTACAAATGAAGAAAATAGAAGTTTGATATAGGGTAAAAGGAGGAGAGATGGACCACGAGGAGTGACGGACCACTACGTGTATTGTGGTTGATATGGCAACCCCGAGGATAGCCACGTGTGTTCTCGCTATTTATTACCTGTCTGTCTAGAGTAAGGTGTCTATGATTCGTGTCGTCTTGTAAAATGTGAAATAACTAATGTTTTCAAATCTAATAGTTTGATAAATTTTTGTGTAAATATTTGTGATAGAAGTGTCTTATAATATCGTAAGTAGAATGTTGTAGTTTTGTAATATATTAAGCAAAATCTACTTCCTCTTATCACCTAACCTAAAAATTACACAGTGGAATGCATGCAAACGGGACTTTTTAAGTGGTCCGTCTCTCCTCCCAAAAAAGGAGAGATGGTCCAGCCATAGGAAGGATAGATGGACCATGTTTTTAAAATATTTTTTTTTCTTTTAGGCAATGCCTAATATATATAAACGTAAAGATAATGTACCTCCAAGAGGATTATGGTCCTCAAATAATTTGCAATCAGCAATAAATGCAGTAAAAGAAGGTAATATGGGTGTAAACCAAGCAGCCAAACATTTTTCAATACCTAAGACTACCCTAAAGAGAAGACTAAAATTGAACAATTCACAAAAATTAAATAGACCAGGACCGGACTCAGCCCTAGGCGCAAATGCTAAAGCTAAACTTGCCAATCATATTAAGAAACTTCAAAAAATGGTTTCTGTCCAACGCGACAAGAAGTAAGGGAAATGTCTTACCACCTGGCAGAGCAAATGGGAATCGAAAACAAATTTAGTGCCCGTGAAGGTTTGTGAATAATGACTAGAAATGTTTTAATAGAAATTTGTTAAGTAAGTTTATGTTTAATTTTAGGCAAGGCTGGTCAAAAATGGTTAGATTTGTTCTTGAGAAGAAGGCCCGATATTGTTGTGCGAAAAGCTGAAAATGTTTCCATTGCCAGAGCCATGGGAATGTCTAGGCCTGTAGTGCAGGCCTATTTTGAGAACTTAGAAAGAGTGTTAACTGAAAATTTACTTTTTGACAAACCAGGTAATGTTTTTAATTGTGATGAGACTGGACTTCAATTGAACACCTGAGCTGGTCAAGTCCTTGCCCAAAAGGGATCTAAGTGCGTTCCAAGTATTAGTCCAGGAGAAAAAGGCGAAACAATATCGGTCCTTGCTTGCATTAATGCTGAGGGTGGATATTTACCTCCCTATTGTATTATGAAAGGCAAAAATAAAAAGAGGAATGGAACGATGGTCTGCCACCTGGTTCACGAATAAAAATGAGTGAAAAATCAGCTTACGTTAATTCTGAAATTTTCTTAGATTGGCTAAAAAATCATTTTTTGCCTAAAAAGCCTAATGGAACAGTGCTATTAGTACTACACGGTCATTCTTCGCACACTTCAAATCTTGAAACACTTCAATTTGAAGAAGAGCATAACATCATACTTTTTTGTTTACCACCTCATACCACTCATGTTTTACAACCTTCAGATAGATGTTTTTTCAAATCTCTAAAAGGGCATTATTATGAAGCTTGCAGGTATTTTGTAAAAAATCACAAAGACCGAAAATTAAGCCGCCTGAATTTTGGAAAATTATTGGGTGAGAGCTGGGGCAAATCCGCAACAGTACAAAATGCTTTATCAAGTTTTCGTGCCACGGGTATAATGCCCTTTAATCCACACATAATTCCGGAACACGCATTTCTCGTTACAGACTTAGAATCAGGTGGCCCACCTGGCACAAACTTAAAAACTATTGAGAAGCCAAATTTAGAAAATATTGAAAGGCCTTTATCACCACAGCCTGGTCCGTCTGGGTTACAAAATTTACTAGAGAAGACTCCACCAAAGAATGTCACTACTACTGATCTGACACTTGGTCAAATTTTAGATAAAATTTCTCCTGTTCCAGAAGTAACCCTAGCCGTAAAAAAGGTGCGACGTCAAATAACTGGAGTGTTATCGTATATATATATCTGATAACTGCAAGAAAAAAAGTGTCCAATTAAAAAGAAAACAAAGTAGCCAACGAAAAATAAAACAAATTCTCCAAGAAAAAACAAAAAAGATGAAAAAAATAAGAAGCATACAATTTCTTCCTCCGATTCAGACGAAGAGCCTAAATTAGACGACTCTGACTCTGAAGAAGCCGAGAATATAGATGATTATGAAAATGAGTGCGTTGGTTGCGGGGAAGACTACAGAAAAACTAAAAAAACAGAAGACTGGATTAAATGCGTTATATGCCGGCGATGGTTACATGAAAATTGTTCAAACTTTGAATCAATATGTCAAGCATGTGGCCTAAACGTTACAAAGAAAAAGTCATAACGAGGTGGTCCATCTATCCTAGCATGTACGGTCCGTAAATCCCCCCTCGCTAAACATTTCTATTGGATTTCCTGCATCCCGTATATACCTTTTTGGAACTCGAAGACGATTTTCTTCTTCCACATGGTCCAAAATATCCTCAAACTCTTCTAACATATTCAAAATTCAAAACTGTTTAATCAGACAAAACGGATTTACAATGGATTTATTTTGTTTACTAAAAAAGTTAGGTTAAGAAACTATCCACAGATCACATAAACTATCCAAAATGACAATCTCCAAAATGAAAATCGCAATTTCCAAAATGACGTTTGCTCGTGTATTCTGTGGATTCCGCTCTCGAGAGCCCAAGACCGTCTTGGCGTCTCGAGATGCAACTATAAATACCAGCCTTAGATGGAACAATCTAGTATTGTAGGAATTAGGATCAATAAGCCACATATTTGCATGAACTAAAATTAATAATTGGTTATCACTTCTAATGGCAACAATATTACAACAAATCCACTAAACTAAACGTCGAATCACAAATATGGTAACGCATTAGAATGAAACGAGTACCGAACTACGTCGTGATCTGCGAGATGCATTCCTAATTCCTGCAACGACCGTCCAAAGCTACAGGGGGAATCAAATTGCATCGGCCAAACCCAACACTCAACCGTCTAAAGCCAACAAACTACTGACTGTGCGTAAAAATTTTCGAAACGCTCAGCGTTATGGCCCCCCTTCGCTCAGGTTATGTGAACGGTCCCTCAGTCTCAGTTTTAGTTGGTTCAGCAGCAACATCGTATCGGTGTGTGGCGCGCTTGAAGCTAGCCGAATCGCGGTTTATATTCGTTTACGAAACCGTACGACGAGCCGGTCGGAATAATTTCCTTTTCGAAAAACCAGTGATAATTTTGGTGTGAATTTCTAGTTTTTTTTTCTCAGTGCCATACAGGATTATCCGAAAATATGAGTGCGAAATTGGTGACAATTTTGTGCGTTTTTGTTTGTTTGGAAGTGGTATTTGCAGGAAAAGCTCAGAAGAAAGACGGTAGGTTGCTGAATTGTCGCAAAATTTATATTATAAGAAGAAATGTAGATTTTTTTGGCGTATAATTACGAGACGATTTTAAAATGTGAAGAAAAAAAATAGTCCTACAAAAGAGAGTTTGGATAAAATATGCGCTCAATCGCTCACAAAGTATGGAATAAAAAATTTTCTGATTTTTAAATTTTCAAATCAAAGTTTAGGATTTTTTCGGATAATTGTGACGTTTTGTGTCAAATCTTGAAAGTTAGAAAATAATCTAGAAAAAATCTAAAAATATTTAAAATTTGTACTTTTTGTCAACTAAAATGATCAGCAAAATAATTTTCAGAATATGATCGGGTTGGTCGAAAGTAGGCAGTGAGTTTTTATTGCCTTTTGATAGTTTTTGGTACCATTTTGATTTTTGTCTCTTTGAATATGGCAATCGCAGAAAAATAGACAAGAAAGACTTTAGGTTGGTAAAAAGTAGGAAAACAGAATATTATGGAAAAACTTGTTTTAAAGATGTTAATCTCGAATTTAATAGAAAACTACCAGAAAAGTTACGCCAGTTTTTTTTAAATTTTACTCTGTATTATAACTTCGTAAAAAATAGCGTAAGGTCAATATTAAATTGTTAAAATATTTAACTAAAAATTAATGAGTAATAAGATTTTGAGATTATGAAGAAAAAATATTAAAGAAAGTTAAAGACAAAACTACAAGATAGATAGGTGTGAAAAAATTTCAAAATCTAAAAAAGAAAAAAAGTAGATAAAATGTAAAGAATAAATAAAATAGATCTAAATATTTTCTGCATCGTTCATAAAATTAATATATGATATTTGGATTGTTTGGATTTTGAAAAATAGGAAGTATAATATTTTATTTGATAATCTTCATCGTTTTATGGAATTTGGAATTTTATAACGTTATCTTGAAATATTACTGGAACGATGTCTGGTTTTTCGTTAACTGAATTGAAAAATCAACAGGAATTATTTTCTTCTCGAAAAGTGAGATATTTGTGTTTTTCTTAGCACTACCCGACTATCCTAAAAACTGATTGCGATGTTGGTGACAATTTGGTACGTGTTCATTTATGTCCTTGGAAAAAGCCATTACAGGAAAGTAAAATGAAATAAAATTATTCCAAAATAAAAATTAATTAAAAATAGAGTATAAATCAAATATGCCCTCAATCCTCTACAAAATCTGGAATTAGAGATGTTTGGTGGCTCTTGTAATTAATGAAGTAAGGCTTTATCGCAGCTGCATTTTCTTGTTCTCTAAATTTTGTAACTATATTTATTACAAGATCTTCATTCTACTTATTTGTATCTGATATGAACAGCCGCCCAGAATTATTTTCTTTTCAAAAAATCGGTATTTTCTAGTAGCAGAATATTTATAGTATATTTCTTAGTGTCATACAAGATTATACTAAAATTATTAATTCAAAATTGGTAAAGATTTTATTTCTCTAAACGTGGCAATTGCAGGAAATACTGAAAAGATAAACGGTATATTATTGCTGAATTTTACACTTACACATTTTTATATCATATCTAAATATAAAACTATCAAAATAGTTGTGAAGAAATGATAAAATATTTAAAATTTTGTGATAAGTGATATCCAGTTATTAATAATGAACAAATATGAATTATAGATAATATGAAAGAGATTAATATTTATGGGTATTAGGGTTTTATTGTCGTGTCCTATAAGAATTAAGATTAATTTAATTTTTCACGCTATTAAGTAAATTAACTAAAAGAAACACAGGTTTGTTACTTTTTCTGTTCTAAAATAACAATGAATATCTTATTGTCATATATTGTCATAATAAAAAGTAATGAAGTGCCTGAAGATATGAATACGAAAGATGTGATAATTTTGTATGTGTGTATATCATTAGAGATATGAGAAGTTGTAGGTAATAATCAGGAAAAAATGAAAAGAGTGACACTATTTCCCAAATAGATGCTTAATTGCAGCACAATTTTTACTAAATGAAAAAATAATATTTTTAAGTATCTAAAAAGAAAACTAAAGAAAAGTTATGAAATCATTACTGAATCTGGATAAATTTGTGAAAATGAGACCAATAAAACTATGAGTTCAATAGCTCTTAAAATATCAAATTATAAATAAATGATATTTATGGATTTTTATGTTTTGTAAATGGGACAATAAAGTTTTAAACTTGTATTTTGTAAATCGTGTATTTATTTAAAACTGTATAGAAAAATCGTTTGAAATTAAAAATTTATATTTTTTTGCTATAATTTTATAAATTCTAAGAAATGTCTACATAAGGCCGCTGTTACGTTTACGTTATAAAATTTCCTTCTCAAAAATCTTTTATAAAATATACATTTGATGAAAAATTATACAGCGTAAATATACATATTTTATAAAATATTACATATTACACTGTCAAATTCTTCATAAAATATATTTTACATCAAATTTTTGACAAAGAAATTTTATAGACTAATGCCGGCCTAACAATAATTTTCTGTTAAATGGAAAATATGGTGTAAATACATACGTGAAAATATATAGGCATATATTTAAGATCCAAGATGACCAAGAAAATAGAAAGATTTTTAATATGAAAATTAAGTAAAAAAGCAATATATCAGTTTGGTGTAAAATTAATAAACTTTCTTTAATCAGATATTGATTTGAATTTCAAAAACGTATCAATAAGGAGCTTAACTTATTGAAATTTGCAATAATTATTGCACAAATAAAATGTGCACAAAAAGATTACAAGACGAAATATAATCTTCTTCTTCGGTTTCCATCTCCTAATGGAGGTTGGAAATCATCATGGCAATTCTAACTTTGTTAACGGCTGCTCTGAATAACTGGTTTGAAGTCATTCCAAACCATTCTCTCAAATTCTTGAGCCATGATGTTCTTCTACTTCCTTGGCTCCTTCTGCCCTTTATCTTTCCTTCTATTATGTTCTGCAGCAGGGCATATTTAGGTCCGCTCATCATGTGTCCAAAGTACTCAAATTTTCTCTTTTTAAGGGTGTTAATCCCCTCTTCGTCCTTCTGAATTCTGCGTCGCAGTTCTGCATTTGTAACCTTGTCAGTCCATGCAATCCTTAGCATACATAGCACCACCTTTCGAATGCCTCAAGCTTCTCCATTTCGGCCTTTTTAAGTGTCCAAACCTCTGAACCATAGAGTAGAGTTGCAAATATGTAACCCCTTAGCATTCTTAATCTAAGCTTTAAGATGATGTTTCCACTGCACAGACATTTTTTGGGTTTTAAAAAGGATGCTCTGGCTATTTCTATTCGAGCTTTTAAGAAATATAATACAAAAGGAATAAAAAAACATGAAACAAATTGATATTTCATTAAGAAAGAAATGATAATTACTAAAATTTATTTTTAATAGATGATAAGAAATTATTTAATGGAAAGATTTGTATTAAATAATTGCAGTCATGTGTTGCCAAACAATACGTTCTGGCAATTTTCCACTGCTTTATCACACACTTAGTTAATTTATTACTAATGTTTCTATATTATATACCTACTCGTAGGAGGAGACTCAATCGAGATTTTTTAATATAATATTTACCAGATATTGATTTTAAAATATTTAACATAATGATTTAAAAATGGAGTTATGATTTTTTTTAATTGCTTTTAAAATCATTGAAGGATAAGAAAATCTGAAGTATATTTAAAAAATAATACAGAACAATGATTAATATTTATAACAGACTAATATTCAGAATATATTTTCGTTACAGTTTTGACAGAAAAAAATATATAAAAATTCTGTATAAATATTTATCAGACCTTTTATAAAATTATTCTCGCCAGTATTAAAGTACAAAACATTTCTGTAGCTTACAAATGCCATTTTGCCGTCCAAGAGCGAATAACAGGGTCCAAGAAGGTTACTTGCAGTGATACGCCGGATTTGCAAACCAGTTTTTGAAATGAATGGGACAAGAACTTCTTCGAAAGGAGTTAAAAAAGGAAGGCCGAACGCCTCTTTGTGTACGGTGGAATGTCCTCTTGGATTTCTTTATTCTAGAATCACTGATACACTTTCCTAATTTGGAACTGAAATTGTGTCAAGTAGATGTTATACGCTATTATATCTTGTATATCTACAAGATGACACTAACTTATTAAGTATTTTTAATAAGAATTTTTCTCCAATATACCTATAATATTATATATATAATTATATAATATATAATTCAGATATAAATCTTGTTTTTCTTACTTATTTAATAATAAAAATTCAAATAAGAACTCTACAGTATGTCCCCGGATTTTCTTTACAAGAGGAAAAACTTTTTTATTATTATGAGAAACATTTTGAGACATTTTGAAAAAAATGCATTCTTCTGAGCATTATTGATAAAAAGTTTTGCTTGTTCTAAAATGGTTAATCCCGTAAACTAAACTACTCAAACAACTAAAAAAATAGGTACTTCTAATTGTATTATAGGAATATGTAACAAAACGCATTGTATGAATATGTAATAAAACGTTTTCATAGTACAGGAAAAACAAATATAATCTTAAATTTTAACGAAATTATTATTAGCTACTATTTAAGTACGTATAATTAACTTAGCTAATAGTATATATTTATATTACACCTAAAATAGCCGAATAGAAGATAAAATTTATAAAGGTTTGATATGTTGAGATTAGACGCACCAAAAGGATACTTCAAAAGTAAAAAAAAAATCAAAAGAGTTCTTAACTTTAAAGTGTGAGCTTCACCCCAAAAAAACCACCCCCAATACGCCCTTTGATGGTTTTTCACTTTTTTCTCAGAACCCGTTGGTCCCACAAAAAATTTTATACTTACTTCTATAAAATATTCCTTATAAAATTTGCTACAAAAAAGGTTCTATTCATTATTTATATTTATCCAATGCATTTCGAGCAATAACCGTTTGAAAAATGGAGTACAAAAAAAATACAAGTTGCCTTTCAAATTATAGTCTCCCAAGGTATTTTAACG